AAAAAAAAAAAAAAAAACCTCATTAATCAAGTCAGCAGAGCTCCAAAAACCATGGATCCAAAATCAAGACTATCGTTTTTTTCAAACTGTTTTAAGATTTTGATAAGAAAAGCAGAACCCCAAATGAGATCTTATAGTCATAGCAAAAAAGAAAGCATCTTTGAGTTCAGTGAAGAAAGAATCAATCAAAAAAAGTAATGGGGTATTCTCATGTGAAAAAACAAGAAAGAATGTTAAAAAAGAAAACCCCACAAATCGTAATCAAAATAGGTAAGAACCTAATTTTAATTCCAAGTGAGTAGTAGTGTACTTTCTTTTTTCTTTCGATATATTACAGGAGTCCGGAACCAAAGTGTGATTCATTTGGACTCAAAAAATTAAAATATGTGAAAAAAAATTGGGATATATAACGCGTTATTGCACCGTGCTATACCTTAACAGCATGTTTGCCGTTAAAGTATAGCGCGGTGTAATACCGCGCTATAGTTAAGTATTGGGCCCACGAATAATTGTTTTGTGCTTAACTGATACACCAATAATTCAACTGGGTATAGCGCCCATATTTAAGTCGTTATACCTCAAATAATTGTACCCCGAATTGATTTTTTCCTTATTTAAAGGGTTTCAGGATTTGGTAAAAATACATCCATCCTCCTTCAAGTCTTCTCATATTTTTGTCATTAAGTTATTTTGTATTTTATCATAATATCTGAAGAGCGAATAATTAGAGTTTCATTATATTTTGGGGTTCGGTTGTGGTGGCGAATAACTCAGTAAGCTATAGTTGTTCTCCATAGTGTCATGTTAAGTTGCCACTTACAATGGAGTATGATACATTGGTATAGTTGTTATGTAAAAAAATGGGTATGAGCAAACGTTCGGTGAGTATTAAAGTAACCGAAAAATATCCGTATTTTGTCACTCTGCAAGGGGTTGCTTGTTATGTTGAGTTTAACATCGAAGACGATGAAACTCTGAGAGATTTTTTGAGGACTCCGGATGAATACTGGGCATTTCTTGTGATAAAAATATTGGAAATGTACGTCAAGGCTGAAGCCGTTTGCAATAATGAAGTTGCGCAAAGTAGGGATATCCCTCAATTATCGGGTGGTTATTTTGGAGCAGTTTTAGCCGAACAGGTTCCGGGTGAAAGAGTTTGGCCTTATCTAAACTTATCTCCACGGGCTAATGAGGAGCGAGGAAATAATTTCTCCCCTAGTTTACATAATTCTCAAGCCGAGTGGTAAACTTTAATTTTTCTTTGTGTCACGATGTTTATTTTTATGTATTGAATTTGTATTAACACTCATATATTCCATAGGGGTACCGGCCATATATGAATTTTACAAGTTATGAACCAACGCCCATATGAAATATGCCTAGTTTTGGTGTGTTGGATCATGGTGGTCCATCCGGGAGTCATCATCAACAGGATAATGTCCATCATGGGATATCAACACATTATGATTTGTAAGTGAAGCGATAAAGCTATATGTAAAGTTTGGATCAATTTGAGAAATTCATTATTTTATTGGTTGTGCAGTGAAAACGAGCAACTTGAAGGTCCTGTCCTTACTCAATTGTCCGAAGACGACATATTTAATCGGGATCTGGCAGATGCGCAAATTCAGGAAGAGAATTGTGATTATGACAACAATGCTGATGAGTCTGGAGATGACACACACTTTCCTGATGAGGGTGATGAGGAGGAGGAAGAGAATACTGAACCTGATTTGACGAGAGAGCATGCTCCACCTCCCGTTAGACCAAGAGTGTACGAGTCCCACGTGTTGTTTCATTCAAGGGAGATTCTCTACCTTGATCATTTTCCAAGTATGTTGGATGTGGATGCCCTCACAAGGTATCTTGATGAAATTCGGACAGCAATGTGGGATGAATATAGAGCAACGGTGTTGTCAAAGGGCATGCTTTTTTCCTTATAAAGCGCGCCTAAACAGGGCGGTGCGAATGTACAGCATAAATGAGTGTTGTGAGATCGTGGTTCATGAGTCATCTCCGGATGTATACAAGGTTATTTGCCGTAAATAGTTTACGGGTTGTAATTGGATGCTGCGTGCGAGGAAGACGAAAACAAATATGTGGGTTGTGGGTAAATACATTGGCACCCACAATTGTGAAATGGACACATTCAGTGAGAATCATTTTAACTTGAATGTTGACTTGATTTCTCTTGTCTTGATTCCATACATTGAAGCGTCCATAAGGTACAAAATCAAAGAGTGTATAACATCTGTCCACCAAGAATATGGGTGTACTATTACCAAAAGAAAGGCATTTCTCGGGCACAAACGTGTATTTAAAATTGTTTATGGTAACTGGGATAAGTCTTTTGCATCTCTACCCAGGTACATGGCAGCATTGCAATACTTTAACCCCGGACTGTTGTTGAATAAAAACTTGAGCGGAGTCCGGGAATACCAGAACATATATTCAGATATGTGTTATGGGCATTTAAACCAGCAATTGATGGCTTTGTGCATTGCCGGCCGGTAATATCTATAGATGGCACTCATGTCTATGGAAAGTATGATATTAAGTTATTGATCACTGTTGCAGTACATGCTAATGGAAGTATATTTCCCCTAGCTTTTGCTATTTGTGCCAATGAAAGTCAAGAGACGTGGACATTATTTTTGAACCACTTGAAGGAGCACGTTGTCAGACATATGGAAAGGGGTGTTGAATTTACGCCAATACCAATGAAAATATTTGAGAAATACAGGAAGCAAGCACATTGGCATTCATTTTTTCAGTATTGCAACGAGCGAAATATTTTTGAAGTTCACACCGCTATCCATCAAAACTGGGGGAATAATACACACACCGTCAATGAAGCCAGAAGGTTATGCTCCTGTGAGAAATGGTCCATCTATCACATGTCGTGCTCACATGCCATGAAGTGCTTTCGACATACAGGTTTCGCGGCAACGAGGTGTCATACCTCTTTTTTTTTTTGCAACCCTTATTGCGAGGCTGAATTAGAAGAGTTTTTCCAATTAAAGTGACGTTTTGAAAAGGGATTATTTATTATTTGGAGTCGCTACTTGAAATTGAGTTTGGTGTTCCAAGTCACCTTTTATTTGAATCCCTTATCAAACGGAAGATTTGACTCTTTATTTATGGTCTACGAAAATAAAAAACTGAATAAGAAATTCTGTTGATCGAGGAGAAGGTGTAAGGCATCCCTCGAGTCTCGTGGTTCTATTACGGTCGTTTTTATTGATTAACATAAGGCTTAAATCAATTCTTGGCTATGCTTATATATTACTGGTTGTGATGTGTCTGTTATTGCTTAATTAATTATTGTATTTTATTAATTATTTTGACCTAGATGCGATACGCACACAAGTTACTTCTTTGAAATTAGATGTTAAACCAAGGTACGGAATGTACACATAGATAAAACATAATTATTTTAAATTTAAAGGCATCGAGACGCGGCAAGAATGGGCACATGACCCTTTTATTACTTAAGCATATTAATCCAAGGTTCGGGTATGAACACATGGGCTAATATTTAAAGTGCGTCTCAAGCTTTTCTAACGTATTTATGATTGTTCCATTTGATTCAAAAAAAAACTAATGGCATTGTGATCCTAATCCTTATTAATTAACAATTCATTTTCCTCATTATATGATTGTCATTATTATAAGCACGATACCAAATGGCCTACGACATTAATATAACCTTGCTGGTTCTTATTCGAACTTTCATGAAATAAAGATAATAATAACAATAAACTAACTTATAAGGACTTATTTAAAGAGAACAACACATTAAGCACTACACCAAAATTTAATGAGATAAGCCAAAACATCATGCTTTGAGTAAGATTTATTTTTCACGAACTAACACAAGCATTCAAGCAACACAATCATAAGAGATTAAGGAAAGCTGACAAAGCATGATATTAAAGAGCAAAACAATGAAGGAAAGAAGAACGGACCTCTGAAACCTTTTAATATTAAGAAAATCCAAGCAAGCTTACAGAGCAGTGGACAAAATCAACATGAGATGAACTCAAACAGAGAAAAGGCCAGAATCGTTTACTAAAATTGGACTGAAAAACTTGAGGGACCTCTCTAACAGAGCCTTGCCGGAAACCTCGTTGCTCCGTGAACCTCGACGCTAAACCAAATAGTAATGCTTCGCCGGGTGTTTCAATGATGTTTAGGATTATTTTAACTTTTAGTTGGGTTTTGTGGCTGGTTATCGAAGAAAAAGGATGAACTACTGCTATGGGGTATTAATGGTATGTTAAAAATGGTGATTTGTAATGGATTCCATGGGTAAAAGTTGTTCCCTTTTCCTTATCAGACACTGCTCTTCTCTCGTTCTTTTCTTCTTTCTTAATTTTCTGTCCTTTTCAAACCCCCTACTAATCTAAAATGTATGACTTATATAGAGAATGTGTAACAGTATGCGTGTTGATGGAGAAGAAGAGTGAGAACGTGGGGGGATTGTGAGGTGTGTGTTGTGAGTGGAGAGAGGGGACGTGAGGGAGTGTGGGGATTAGGGAAAGGAGCAGATCAGGGGGTAAGGGATATAGGTTTATCTAGGATATTTTTTTTATTTTTTTTATGTTATTTTATTTACTTCTAAAAAATAAAGTAAAATACATAATAAAAATATGAACTCACTTCTTTTAGACTAAGAAAATATATTTGAAAAAAAACTAAATATTTACATATAATTTAAATACTAGTAAGAAAAGATATCATAGCTTACTTATTTGAATTCAAATTAAAAGAAACCAAGTATTTTTTGTAAATTTTCTTTTCTCTTGTAAATAGAAATAAACTTATACCCTAAGAATGTGAATATTTTTTTGTAGTTTTTAATATATATTTTTTTCCAAATAAAACCTATTAAGAGTATGATAAAAGTTTAAAATATTAAGATTAGACCTAAAAGAAATATTTACACTAAAATAGTATCGAATTTGGGTGCGGTCAAAAATTAGGTGTTCACAGTATGCCCCTCATTGCTGGGAAACATGAAGAGTTTTCAGGCAAATAAAATGAACAAGGTGACTGATTTTTTACTACGCTATTATTTAAAAGGAAAAAGAAGTGAAAAGAAGGCATTGCGACCGAGCCTTGGTTTTGGGCAGCCTACATATCCCGGATTATAAGGGAATCATGTCACATGTAGTTCAAGTGGAAGAAGAGTGGTGGAGTATGCTTAGATGGAGAGTCGAGCGAAGTTCCGTCGAGGTTCCTAATATTACATCAAAATGAAAAGAAAATTACATACTCT